CCCCTGAAATTCATGTGCTGGAATGCTAATGCCCAGTAACTCAGAATATAACTGTTTATAAGATCTTTAAAGAGGCAGCTAAATCAAAATGGAGTCTTCATGGTGGGCACTAATCCCATATGACTAGTATCCTTAAAAGAGAAGGAAACTGGGACTTACAGAGAGACACCAGGCAGGTGCATACAAAGACAGGACAATGTGAATACACAGCAGGAAGGCACACATCTGCAAGTCAAGGAGAGAAATCTCCAAAGAAACCCAAATGGCCGTCATCTTGATCTTAAATTTTCATCCTCTAGACTGTAGTTTCAACCACCTAGTCTGTGGTATGTTGTTACAGACACCCTAGCAAAGTAATAAATTCCATCTTTCACTAGCTGTGTGATCTGAAAGATATTTAATGTAGTGTCCCACATGGCATCATAACCACTGCACTAAATGCTCTCCCCAGATCTTAATTCTTAATTAAATTAGTCTTCAGGAGAAAATTATGGCATGAATTTCATTTTCGTATTTTGCTTTGTCTTGGGCAAGTAGATATACGAAAAGAAACATACGGAACTGACCCAAGCTGGAGCAATTCAGCAACAATACAAGTCAGTAAATATGCAGGATGTAATTTTCACAGAAAAACATCTTGGACCTGAGCTCATGTCCTGATTTTTTCCAGTAGTAAGCATGACTTCTTCACGTATTCAACCTCTATAGGCCTATTTCATCATCTACAAATGTAGCTGGACTACTCCTTTCCCTCAATGAATTGTTATGGGAATCAAAGGAAGCACTAACTGTAAAAAGGGCTATTAACTTAGGGATACCATAAAAATGTAACTTATGTATATTAGTAGTCAACAAAAGCACAGTTATAAGTATTACCGTAAGGCCACAGTGTCCATGAAAGTAGAAAACAGAATTAGGTGAGTTTTCTCATTCATTTTACAAATATTTACTGAATACCTACTATTTATCCAGTGCTTGAAACCAAGTCTCTTCTGCTGAGGAGCTCATGAGAGCATAGAATGTGTCAGATGGAATTAAATGCTATGGGAAGGAGAGGAAGGTTCTGTATGTGTGGTGAGGCAGTAATGATATTTTATTCATGGAGGTCAAGGAAAGTCTCTCAATTGGCAACATTTGAGAAAAGTTGAAATGACACTTGGTAGCAAGCCATGCAGATAATTGAAGAACAGTAAGAGTAAGTCAAAAGCTCTGAGAGAGAGGTGGATCTTGCACGTTCAAGGTACAGAAAGGAGGCTAGAATGGCTAGAATGATTTTAGAAAGGCAGTGGGAAGCTGGAGGGTCAAGGGTTTGCTTCCTTTTGGACTGTGGATCCTGCTAAAGTCTTTGCATTTTCTTCTGTGTTGGGTTAATACTGGGAGTTTCCAGTGGAAGGATGGACCATCCTTAGTTAATTGATGGGTTATAGAGAACCAAGGTCAGAAGTAGATCATTGTGGTTGGAATGAGAGTTGCAAGAGGTGGTTGGATTCTGGATATGTTTTATAGGCTGAGCCATTACAATCTGAAAATGGTCAGATGTGGTGTCAAAGAAAAAGGTTAGAGAAGTGTGGCTTTGCTGATTTGGACTGAGACATTGCAAAGGGAGAAGACTGGGGTCACAGCAGAGTTGGTGGTGATGCCACTGGAATGTAAGATTGCTATATGTGATATGTGAAATCCATGAAGATTTTATGCCTTCCAAATGGGTATATCATAAAAGCAGTTAAATTTTTGAGTCCATAGCTCAAAGGAAAAGTGAAGCTGAAGATTTATTAGCGGTGGCATTTAAAACCATGGGATTCCCTGAGTCCATCCAAGGAGAGGGTGTGAAGAAAGAACAGGTACAGGTACGGGCACCATTTGCTACAATATTTTCAGAGGGAAAGTAGGATCCAGCAAAATACAGTGGTCACAAGAGACCATGCAAGAGGAAGTAAGGGCGGAGCTCAACTCTCTTGAATGTTAAGGGCCAACATCTCCTGAATGAACACCTACATTGCACCTTCCATGGACCAGACAGTTTGCTTGCATTCTCAGAAATCCTCTCAGGGAACTGGCAAGAGGATGCCCTCATTTTACTATAAGGAAACAGAGACTCAGAGAAATTGAGCAACATGACTTGAACAGGTTACAAGTGAGAAATGGAAGAAAGGGGGTTTTAAAATCACGTATTTCTCGCTGAGTAGAATTTGATGAGCAAACAGAGGAGGAAATACTAGCAACCAAGCCCTCAGTCCTGGCATTACAATATTAACACCTCAGGCATCACACGAGGCATGCTTACCTACTGGGTCTCACTGACCCTCACTGCTTTGCAGTTGATTCAGAATGATGAGCTCTGGCTTTCTTTTTTAATATTAATTTATTTGAGAGGCAGAGAGATGATAGATACATAGATAAATACAGAGGGAATGAGCTTCCACCAGACAATTCAGTCCCCCAATACTAACTGCCAGGATTGGGCTGGGTTGAAGCAAGAAACCAGCAACTCATCCCAAGTCTCCTAAGTGGGTGGCAGGGACCAATTACTTGAGCTATCATATTCTGGCTCCCAGAGTACACATTAGCAGCAAACTGGAGTGAGAAGCTGGGGCTGGAATCAAACCCAGCGACTCCAATGTGGAACGTGGGTACCTGTCCCAGCTCTAGGTTTCTAGCTGTGAGGGTTGAGACAAGCGAGCTTTAGTAAGTTGCTCAAGGTCTCCGGCTAATGGAGTCAGGTAGGCAACTTGGGCTTCTGTGGCTTCTGGTCTATCCTGTCCTCATTACTCCTTCCTCAGGCTAGTGGCAGCAGAGGAAAGGCTGGAATGTGTACTTTCCTCCAGGTCCTGGCTGAAATAAATGAACTGTAGGACGCACCACCCTGGTGTCTGGGGTATGCCACACTGCAGTGGTTTTAACTGCCCACTCCTCTGCTCACCCATATTTGTTCCCTCCAGAGACTGCTCTTCAGTGAGCTGGTATCCTGAACAGATACAGACCAGGAAGAAAGACCACATCTGCCAGGACTTTCTGATAGCCAGTTTATTAACTGGGACAAGTACTCACAGAAACACAATGATTTGATGTCAACCAAATTGTCTGGCACTCACAACCCAAAATAGAGATATATGGTGTGTGTTTGACAATGGGAGAATGTGCTCCTTCCCATCAGGTTAAAATTCATGGGCTTTCTTTTAGGATGGGAAGCAAAGAAAAGTAATCCTATGACTATAATTTGTAAATGTGCAACTCCATGCTAGGCGTTGACAGTCAAGTGTGTGTGTGTGTGTGTGTGATTACAATCCCCACTTTACAGATGAAACTACAGCAGTCTCCCCGACCCTTATCTGCAGTTTTCTTTTTTGCTGTTTGTTATAGGTAGTCAACGTCAGCCTAAAATGATTCAATGGAAAATTCCAGAAATAGATAATTTGTAAGGTTTAAATCATGAGCTATTCTATGCAGCATGATGAGGTCTCAACTTCCTGCTCCTTCTTGCCTGGCCATCAATCGTCCCTTTGTCCAGAGTATCCAAGCTGTGTACACTACTTGCCCATTACTCACACAGTGGTCATCTAGGTGAGCACGTTACCTGTCATGTTATCATAGTGCCTGTGTATCTTACTTACTAATGGTCCTGAAGTGCAAGAGTGATGATGCTGGCAATTCAGATATGCCAAAAAGGAGCTATAACATGCTTGCTTTAAGTGAAAGTTCTTGATTTCATAAAAAAAATCATATGCTGACATCGCTAAAACCTAAAGAATGAGTCTCCTATCTGGGAAACTGAGAAGAAAGAAAAATAAATCCTTGCTAGCTTTGCTATTGCAAAGTCACAGCCAAGGTATGGGGCTCACTGCTTAGTTGAGATTGGAAAAGTATTACATTTGTTTATGTGCATCTAGGAAAAAACAAAGCACATATTGTCCAGCGTTTGGAATTCTCTGTGATTTCAGGCACCCACTGGGAGACTTGGCACACGTCCCTTGAGGATAAAGGGGAACCACTGTGCAATTACAGAAACCCAGGTGAGGTGTGTTTGTCAATGTCACATGACTAGGAAGACACCAAAGAGAGGGCTAGATCCAGCTCTGTCAAAAGCCCACAGGCTTCAGCAATGATAGAATTATTTTCATTTGATTTAACTTTGCTTGTTTTTCTCTGAATACCAAACAAAAGGGAAATGAAGAACTTTGGAGAGAGGATGCCCTCAGGATCTGTGATTGTGATAGAATCATTTTAAGAAGAATTCAAAAGAATGAGAAAGAACCCGGGGCAGGGGTTTTCAGACTTCCATGTGCACAGCACTCTCCGGGGGTCTTGGGCAAATGCAGGCTAAGTCCGTACATCTGGGAAGAGCACTGCTCTTCCTCAGAGACAATGGAATCACAGGTGCTGCAGGCCTGCCAGGCACACGGAGAGCCGCAAGGCCTTGGTAAACACCTGGCACCTGTCTCCCGGATTGCACTCATTAAACGTCTGCCTGCAGTATGCAGCTTGTCCTTGAACTTGACGCAGCTTCTTTTACTTAATTGTTACATGTAGAATCTCACTCACTTTCTTAATACTTAAATGTTACATTACTGTAATAAATGGGAGTTGTATTACTAAAGATAAAAATAAAAGCACTAACAGCAGAATTATCTTATTCAACAGGTACCATTCCTTAATGTCTCTATGTTGGCTTATCAGTTGTATTTTCATTTGAAACTGCATTAAACATGAGGAAGGGAGCAACAAAATGATAAGAAGTCTTTGAAGACGCATTAGCACCAAAATGGGTTGTTATAGTCAGAAGGAACGAAAGAGAATTCAAAACGGAACAAAGTTTTTGAACACTTAAAACCATCTTCACTTATTGCACTGATACTCACCTTTTCCCAAGGAAACTCTGATCATCCACCCATTTCCAGAGATGTTGTCACTTGCTCAATTGCCAGTTAATGGCAAGACCAAATAGCAATACAGCTCTTTCAACCACACACAATTATACAAGTAGCTGCATGCTTTAACCCTACCTGTTCCATGGTTCATCCCTTCAAGAGGCCGGGACTGGCATGCAGCTATCGAGTCGTAGAGGAGACAGTGTCACCCACTTTTCAGTCCTGGAAAGAAAGGATTATATTCAGGCTATATAAGGAGCTCAAACTCAATGAGACAATAGGCAATCCAGTTAAGAAATGGGCTAAGGATATGAACAGTCATTTTTCAAAGAATGAAATACAAATGGACAACAGACACATGAAAAAAATGCTCAGGATCACTAGTCATCAGGGAAACACAGATAAAAAACCACTTTGAGTTTTCAACTCACTTCAGCTAGAATGGCTCTCATTAAAAAATCCAAGGCTAACAAATTCTGGCAAGGGAATGGGGAAAAAGGTACTCTAGTCTGTTGGTTGGAATGGAGACTAGTACAGCCATTGTGGAAGACAGCATTGAAATTCGTCAGCAATCTGAAGACAGATTTACCATATGACCCATTCATTTCACTTCTGGAAATTTACCCAGAGGAAATGAAATTAGCATATTAAAGAGTTATCTGCATCCCCATTTTTATAGCAGCTCAATTCACAATAGCTTACATTATGGAATAAAACCAGATATTCATCAACTGCTGACTGCATAAAGAAATTGTGGTATATATACATGACGGCATACTACTTGGCCACAAAAAAGAATGAAATCCTGTCTGTTGCAACAAATGGATGCAACTGGAGGCCATTATACTTAGTGAAATAAGCCAGTCCCCAAAAGATAAATTTGTTTTCCCTGATTTGTGGTAACTAGTACACAGAGTAAAAAAGAATGATGTATATGAGTAAAATTGACATTTTGAGATTTGATTATTGTTATAGCCCTTGTCTATAATCTTCCAGAACAGTGGTTTTCCTATACTATTTGTTGAATCCTTTATTTAGTAGAGGGTTAACCTTGTGATCATAAAATAAGCTGAAAGCATGTTATGTAAAAAATTGAAAGACTAAGAAAGGAAGGAGGAGAGAGGGTGAGAATGAGTGAGGGAAGGAAGGTAAGGTAGGAAGATTCATTATGCTCTTAAAACTGCTTATGTGGGGGCCGGCGCTGTGGCATAGCAGGTAAAGCTGCTGGCATCCCATATGGGCACCAGTTCAAGCATCAGCTGCTTCTCTTCCAATCTAGCTCTCTGCTCTGGCCTGGGAAAGCAGTAGAAGATGGCCCAAGTCTTTGGGCCCCTACACCTGCATGGGAGACCCGGAGGAAGCTCCTGGCTCCAGATCAGCCCAGCTCTGGCTGTTGCAGCCATTTGGGGAGTGAACCAGCAGATGGAAGATCTCTCTCACTCTCACTCTCACACTCACTCACTCTCTGTCTCTCTGCCTCTCTGTAGCCCTACCTTTCAAATAAATAAATAAATCTTTTACAAAAACTGTATGTGTGAAAAACATGCAATTCTTCCTTTTACATAAACTTTTTAAAAGATTTATTTATTTGAGAGGTAGAGTTGCAGATGCAGAGAGGGAGAGAGAGAAAAATGTCTTCCATCTGCTGTTAACTCCTCAGATGGCCACAACAGCCAGAGCTGGGCCAGTCTAAAGCAGGAGCTTCTTCCAGATCTCCCATGTGGGTTCTGGGGCCCTAGTGATTCGGCCATCTTCTACTGCTTCCCCAGGCCATAGGAGAGGGTGGGATTGGAAGAGGAACAGCTGGGACACAAACAAGTGCCCATACGGGATGCTGGTGTAGCAGGCAGAGGCTTAGGCCACTATGCCACCGTGCTGGCCCCCTTTACATAAATTTTTTTTAAAGTTAAAAAAGAGTCTCTCTCACCTTTTCTTAAGAATAGCATCTAAAACCCAAGGAGAAGACTGGAGTGAACCCCTTCTGTCATCTCAGGTTCTCCTGTCATTTCTTGGCTAAGCCCGTCTTTGGGTTCCTTCCTGAAATGTGGGCTTGTTTGCATTTTCAGGTTTGTTCACATAGGTTTACCATCATTTTCTCCCTCTAAACACACTTTCTGGATGGAAGGTGGGGTGGGCAAGTAGGGAAGGCGATGAGAACAGCATCAGGAGTCCCAGGTCAACAACAGTTCTTCCAGTGTGTGTGTTGCAGGAGCCAGGGGCAAGGCTATCAGTAAAGGAAGGGGCAGATGTGTCCTCTGGGATCCTTTCCCTCTCTCCAGGGTGGTACTCAGTGCCTTCCTGGTTTGTTGTAGGCATTGTGCATTTGTGAGTGCTAAGTCACTGGCCATATCACATCCTCATCAGTTGCTTACTGCATATCTAATGTATAGCATCCCTTATTTTGCTTGCACAATTAATCCAGCAATGACAGGGTGAGCTATTCAGATCAGGAAACTGAAGCTCCTAAACAGTGACTTGGCAAGGTAAGACTGAGCAAACCATACAAACTAAAATGCCATGCGATCGGAATATGCTGCTCAAAGCAACCCTTTCCTTATTTCTTACTGGCATGCAATGTGAACTAGATACTGTCTTGGGCTGTAGGATTTTATATCTTGGATGCATGGTAAATAAGACATAGTCTTGCCCACAAGGTCTGCTCAGTCTGCTTGGGGAACTAGAAAATACTTAGACTATAGCCTGCTTTTCTATACCCATACAATTTTTAGCACCAAATATATGGGTTTTCCATTCCAAGCAATTTTCTAGTTTTTTGTGGACACCAGTTTAATTTAATCCAGACACTACCTGGAGTCAGCACAGACCCACAGATGCCAATTCCAAGTAGTGGGTTTCCAGGTTACCCACACTTTTATCTGTCTTGTCTATATATTTGGGGGTCCCAGAATTCCTCTTCCAGGTACTTCACTCACAGCACCTCTTTGTGTTTTCACCCCAGGAGCTCCATGAACCCCATTGTTTAGGGTTATTCTGGAGATTTCACCATGAAGGCCCAATGGTTAAATCACCATTGGTGACTGACTCACTCCCCTCCCACTAGAGACTGGGGTGGGCCTGAAATCACAGTTGGTCCCTCAAGCTACCAGCTTCATCTTTCAAGAGCATAAACAAAGTATGGTTCAAAGGGGGTTATGATGATTAACCAAAGATGCACCTCTCGCCCCTATAACTCTGGAAAGTACTAGAGCTCCAAGATCTCTGTCCCAGGGAAGCAGGATAAAGACTGAACATGCACTTCTTACTACATTACAACATCACAGGGGCTTTATGCACCTTATAACAAAAAGATTTTACTACATAAGAGAAGCAGCACAACCTCGGTGCTAACTTCTGACTTGCTTGCTCCTATTATTTGTGAGACTTTTTGTAGGCTTGGGTAAGATTTTTTTTTTAAGATATATTTATTTATTCGAAGGTCAGAGTTACACAGAGAGAGGAGAGTGAGAGAGAGAGAGAGAGAGAGAGAGAGAGAAGTCTTTCGCCCGATGATTCACTCCCCAATTGGCCGCAACGGCCAGAGCTGTGCTGATCCGAAGCCAGGAGCCAGGAGCTTCTTCCAGGTCTCACACGTGGGTGCAGGAGCCCAAGGACTTGGGCAATCTTCTACTGCTTTCCCAGGCAGTAGAGAGCCGGATCAGAAGTGGAGCAGCCAGGATTTGAACCGGTTCCCATATGGGTTGCCGGCACTGCAGGTAGTGGCTTTACCTACTATGCCACAGCGCTGGCCCCGGGTAAGATTCTTAACTCTCAGATAAGTTTCATGTCTGAGTAACACTGTTAATAAGGCTTTTCTTTTGTAAGGTTATTGGACTTCGTTTTATGTGAAGACACGATGTGATGTAACAAAATTGGGAGTCAATGAGAACTATGTGAATCCTGAACCCACCAGTCAGTTTAACTCTATGACTCAGGGCGAGTTTCTAGGTCCCTTGCCTTAGCATTTGGATGAGTAGAGATAAGAAGAGAAGAGATCAGGAAATAACATATTCAAATGTTGACTGGTGTCAAACTACAAGGGCTCTTTGGAGAAAGAGGAGTTGGCATTTTGCAAAATGGGAGCGTAGTGATCAGTGAGGTCCATGACTTTCTTGAAAATCCGTTGTTCAAAGTAAAGATACAAAAACATCTTGAAATGCAGGTATCTTAATGACCTCCTGAGACTATTTCCATTAAGATACACCTGAATTTCTCAGTCTGACATGCACATCCTCCATGTCCTGGTTCTCAACTATGAGAGACACAAAATGAGTAGACTCCTACTACCCACAATGTCACATACACCAAAGAGCATGCACACAACAGCAGACTGACACACAGACAAGACTGGGCTTCTGACACTGAGAACTTAATGCAGTGCTGACAGCCAGGGCCTTGGGAGCACTGAGTTCAAGTCCTGGATCTGTCACTTTCTTTCTCTGTGACTCTGGATGAGTTACATATTTTCTTCAAGTTTTAACTCCCCAGATGAAAAAGCCTCCCTATGACAATAAAACAGACTTTACCCCATGTGGTGGTTATGAAAACTAAATGAAATCAAGCATAAAAGGTAGTTAGCATAGTTCCTGACAACAAAAGGCTCAATAAATACTGCTATTTTTATTTCTAATAAAGTGAATTGCTTGCTTTACTAGCAAAAGAGCCAGAGGGTTTTTCCTCTAATGCTTACATTGGCTGTTGTAGAAACAAGACTGGCATTATGCCAGCACCGCGGCTCAATAGGTTAATCCTCCGCCTTGCGGCGCTGGCACACCAGGTTCTAGTCCTGGTTGGGGCGCCAGATTCTGTCCCGGTTGCCCCTCTTCCAGGCCAGCTCTCTGCTGTGTCCAGGGAGTGCAGTGGAGGATGGCCCAAGTGCTTGGGCTCTGCACCCGCATGGGAGACCAGGAGAAGTACCTGGCTCCTGCCTTCGGATCAGCGCGGTGCACTGGCCACAGAGCGCTGGCCACAGTGGCCATTGGAGGGTGAACCAACGGCAAAGGAAGACCTTTATCTCTCTCTGTCCACTCTGCCTGTCCAAAAAAAAAAAAAAAAAAAAAAAAAAGACTGGCATTATTACTGGCCTCTGGGGCTGGCTCTGGGATTGCCACCTCCTACCTTCAAGTAGGCATTGAAGAAAGCAAAGCACCTTAGGGATTTAGGGCTTTGGGGGTAATTAAAATGATCTGATCTAGTTCACATGTCTCCATTGACAGATGGGCAAA